CACTTAAATTTTGTAGTTTCAAAAGAGGCCAATATCAACTTCAGTGGTAGTAGGATAATGAAAAAATTAGTTGAGCATTAAAAAAATAATAATTATCTTGGTATATCTTTTTCCTGGTTTATAAGAAAACTAGTACAGTAATGATAAAGCGTGATAAAGCGTCAATCCGTTGTCTGCTTTTTCGGACAAAGTAAACCCGACGTTGCTTTCCCTTCATCTTATTTTGTCAATTTTTTTTTTTACCTTTTTTCACTTGGTTTTTATTCATAGGTCTCTTTTTTACATCCAATAAAATGGCAGTAAAAATTGACCTCACGAGATCTTCACTTATCCCACAATTGATGGGCTTCAGATTTAATAATAGAAAGCACGTAACAATTAATATTTCTTTTGTAGTCAGTCACGGTATTTGGAACGATCCGTTAGTAGCAAGCAGCCAGCCGCGGCTTCAGATTTACAATGAATATTATCTATCTGGTTTGAGTAACAATGAATATTGAATAGTAGATAGCACGTAACAATTAAATGGATTAATAAACAAATAAAAGTTGTACATTGATTTTATTTTTATACCAAATAACAATGTATATAAACATATATAGAAATTGACCGATGACTCGGAGACCTGTCCGGATCAATTACCAGGCCGAATTTTCTTATACCAAAACATTTAATTTTTTTATTTTTATTTATATTTATATGACACAAATACTCTATATATAATTTAAAAAAATTTAAATTTAATTATTCGGTTCAGCAATTGACCGATGACTCGGAGACCTGTCCGGATCAATTACCAGGCCGAATTTAAAAACTACGTTGATAACAAACAAATCATTTTTAGTTCTTTATTTATATATATACATATAAGTGTCAGTTATTTAATTAATACTACCTTTCCTCTCTTCTTCATTTAATTGTGAGAACTAATCGTCATAATTTGTAGAACTGTAATAATAATTTTTTGAATTATTAGTAATTATTGCTAAAAATAACAAATTATATATTCACACTAGAAGATTTATAAAAGTACACACTTCAAATTCTATAGAGAGATGTTTGCTTCAAACTACTTGAATTAAATTTAATATTATATATATAGAGATGTTAAATTGGCTAGCCCTAGCGATTTTTGGCTAACCCTAACGGGCTTCGGGTTAAACGGTCCGGACCTAAAAAGCCCGGATTTAAACGGGTTACCAATAAAAAGACCTAACCCTATCCCTAGCGGGCTTCGGGCTAAACGGGCTATAATAATAATAATAATATTAATTATTATTATTATTATTATTATTATTATTATTATTATTATTATGTACCAAAATAAAAATAAAAATAAAAAAGTTATAAAAAAATACAATGACTAATTAACGATTGTTTTCAATGGCTATTTAGTATTACCGCTCTATATATATATAACTACACATCATATATGAACGCACACTATAAACTTTTAAATAACATATTTTTTTTCAAAAGATAAAAATATTCGAATTATTACTTATAATTTCCATTTTACTACTTATTTTGGCTTTAGAAATTTTTTACGATATTATATCATTACAAGTTCAATCACTATGTTTCATGTGTTAGGATTTTGTCTCATTGTTTCCTATTAGTCGTTCTTAAATATTTAGGCGTGGAGTACAATAAGAATATTGTTAATAATTATCTTTCAAAATCATTATAATCCGTTCAACTCATACTTACATGTGAAGTGAAATAACAAAATTGTAATATACAATGAATCTAAGAGCATATCACTTACTTGCTGCAAACATTTAAAATGCCCAACTCAAGTTAAACGGGCCAGCCTAGCGGGTTTCGGGCTAGCCCTAACGGGCTTCGGTTTAAACGGTTCGGGCCTAAAAAGCCCTAATTTAAACGGGTTACAAATAAAAAGCCCTAACCCTATTTTTTTCGGGCTAAACGGGCCGGCCCGTCGGGCCAAAGACCGTTTAACATCTCTCTCTCTCTCTCTCTCTATATATATATATATATATGTGTGTGTGTGTGTGTGTGTGTGTGTGTGTGTGTGCGCTTTATCTCGTTAAGCAGATTCTTAAATAGCTAAATGACACAACAAATTCTTTTTTTTTTTGTACAGGGACCTTCCGGTTTCCGGATCCACAGGGGAACCGACTAATTCGGAATCGATCCGGGTAGGACCACAAGGGCGGCAAAGCTCTCCCTCAAGAGTTTTAATACTGCTGCATTCCCAGGGCTCGAACACGAGACCACTGGTTAAGCTGGAAGAGACCCAAATCATCTCATCTAAGCGCTCTTGGGTACACAACAAATTCTTTAAAACCACGTAAACAATTGTTACTATAGTAATAATAATATAATATTTTTTTCAACAAAGTAAATTTTCATTAGTTTTGCTATTGAGCCATTAGATGACTCGGTTTATGGAGTCATCCACACTTATTCACCAACATTGTATTAACGTGTCCTACAATAAATACACTTTGAACATGTGTCAATATACACTTTAGTGTGTATGTATATATTGCATACACGAGCATTATTACTATACAATAATTCAAAAGAAAAATAACAATAATAATCCTACCTAAATTGAAATCAAAGCACGCAAAAAGTAGTTGCTTCAACATCAATTACGGTTTCGGTTTCACCGGTGCTTTTCAAAACGTTTGGATGACATATTTTACTTTTTATAGATGTTTTGTTCCCAAAAATACACGGATGGGCTAATAAAATAAATATTTCTAAAAAAAATGCGAAAAAAAAAGACTCAAGAGATGTTACTTTCATCATTAAAATCATCCAAAGTGATCTCATTTGTTCGACTTTTGTGTACAAATAACAAAAGTGTGAAGAGGTGAGATAGGTAAGTATGGAGATTGGTGCCTACCTAATACTAGAGATGGAGTTGCTATCATATTCTATGGTTATTCCTAAAATCTTTTTCTTTTTTTCTTTCATTATCTAAAGTTAAAATGATAAGAAAATTTGACTCTAAACTGGATTAAACCAGCACCACCACGAACTGTCCTCTGCACTAAGCTCCGATGATTTGCAACTCTACGAAAAACTTTCCGCGTGTTCAAATTAGATATTGCTCGTGAATTTATATTGAAATTGTATGCAGAAGGCGTAATAATTCATTATGTAAAGTAAAATTTGGTAACTCCTTATATATTCGGGTTATCTTTTTGTCCAAGTAGAATCTTTTCTAAGAAAGAGATCATACTGTATCTCATTTCATAGCATAACACGTCTTTGGAATCTTATGACTCCTTAGCGAGATATACTTTCCATATTTATCAGGATTCTGCTTCCTTTGTGACACGACTCTTAGGTCCTTAGATCTTACAATGACATCGTGACCCATCCACAGTGAATGCTTACCTAGTCGAAACCCCGGCATTTACTTGCATGGCTTTTGGGGCTTAAAATCCCTTTTTCTGTTCGAGCTCCAAGGGGAAATCGACCCCTCAATCTTTTAATCAGGTTGACTCATAACTTTGGCTGCCGTAGGGGCTCTCTGACGAGGTCAATCACTGACACCGAGGTGAGGCTCCATTTGAACAAGTTATACCCTAACTAACTACTCAAGTCGATTCACCAAGCTATTCAAGATGTTATATCATAGAGACACATTAAAATCATTTCATTTATCATGCTCATAGTAAGTCTCTACATAAATGAGAGTTTTTTTTTAAGAGTAATGTTATAAGTTCATAATATTGTAAGTAGGGGTGTACATAACAGTCATATTGAGTGGGATCCATCAAAAATAAAAATCAAGTGGACCCCACTCCATGTGAGTATTATTTACACCTTTATATATATTTGTTATGTACTTGTAGTATTTTTCTTTTTTTAATGCCTTTTGCACTTTTATGTGTTTACTTATGATATTCTATAATTTTATGTCTGAATTTTGATATTTCAAATAGTTCATGTTGATTTATATATTTT